GTGGGGTGGACGCTCGGCAACAGCTGACATCAGTCGATAGCAGCAAGTATATTCCTTCAATTAAACACGTAAATCAAGAATTTGAGGGCAGGTGGGTGCGAGGCTAATGAACATTGCACTTCTACACGCGTAATTTGAACGTGAAATTCGTCTCGCCGACCGCCGCGGAGTTGGCCCAAAACTAAATAAGATAAAATACGTTGCGTTACATGGTCAGGAAAGACGATAGCTCGCGCCTTACGGCGCATAATAATCAAGAGAATATCTACGACAGGGCGGACCGGGCACGGTCACAGTACACCCGCTCCGTTCATTAATTCAGATTCGAGATCGAAATGAGATGTGATTCTTCCATCATCGTTTCCTCCATTAGGTGGTCCGCAGATCAATGCTGTTGGATGCGTCTGAGTATTTTTTTTGAACTTAGTTACATGAACTCGCTTTGACGAAGCAACCGTTGTGTAGATGTTGCCACTCTCCATGGTTGCCGTATTTGGCACTTGGCAGATACAATGTCGGATTTGGAATGGCTCGGAATCGGCTACGATCGAAGCTGCTTTTTGCACCGTGTCGGCGGCTGACTCAGCGGGTCACAACGTAATGCAATTGGTTATTTATCGATGGTGCGTGCGTTTCTAATTATCTGTATTCGCATCATCCAGATAATCAAATGTGCAAGTGGTGTCTGAGCGGCAGGGTGGTGCAATGGATCACCATTGGTGCAGGTGGCCGAGTAGATATGCCAGTCGCTGAACTCACACATTGACCCATGATGGCGTGGCGTACCGGCGACAGCATCGGTGTTCTCGCCATGCCTTCTGTATGCCTGACCGTTTTGAGCCGTCATCTGTGGATCGCGCCGACAGGGATCCCCGGGTGCATCTCGTGGCAGTTTGGGACTGCTACATGATCATGAAGAGGAGCGGTCGTCGTCTCCGTGCTTACCGACTGTCCTGCCTGGCGTGGTCAGCTAACCGACCCCCTTGCTCGGCAGATGTTCGTCTCCAAGGCCGATCTTCAGATGCACGTGCAGGTGCACATGCGCGAGGCCAAGCCGTACAAGTGCAGCCAGTGCTCCAAGGCGTTCGCCAACAGCTCGTACCTGTCGCAACACACGCGCATCCACCTGGGGATCAAGCCGTACCGCTGCGAGATCTGCCAGCGCAAGTTCACGCAGCTGTCGCACCTGCAGCAGCACATCCGCACACACACGGGCGACAAGCCGTACAAGTGTCGCCACCCGGGCTGCTCCAAGGCGTTCTCACAGCTCTCCAACCTGCAGAGCCACTCTCGCTGCCACCAGACAGACAAGCCGTACAAGTGCAACTCCTGCTACAAGTGCTTCACCGACGAGGCCAGCTTGCTCGAGCACATCCCCAAGCACCGCGAGTCGAAGCACCTAAAGACGCAGATCTGCCCGTACTGCGGCAAGAGCTACACACAGGAGACGTACCTGCAGAAGCACATGCAGAAGCACGCCGACCGCATGGACAAGCGCGGCGGGACGGGCCAGGCCGTGCCGCAGCGCATCGACAACCCGTACTGGCCCAAGGACGAGTTCGACGTCAATGGTGGTGGCCTGCAGTCGCCGCTGGACCCCTCCCGGCTGCACCTGGGTCGCGACGGTCTGGAGCACCGCGTGCTCAGTCTGGACGACCCGCGTCTGCACGCCGGCCGCGACACGCTGGAGCACCGCGTGCTCAACCTAGACGAGCACCGGCCGGCGCACAGCCTGGCACAGAACGTCATCTACGAGCCGATGCCGCGCGCCTCGGTGGCCGCCTCGTCGGCCTTCACGCCGATCCAGGGTGGCATGGCGCCAGTGGGAAGCGGCGGCCTGCCACTCCAGGTGGCGCCCACGTCGCAGCGCTACTTCTACGACCCCAACAGCTTCCCGAAGGGCGGCGGCGCCGGGCCGGAGCTGAAGGCAACCGCTAACGCCAGCGGCTTCATTTCGCTGCACCAGATCAGCAGCTACGCACAGCAGCAGCGTGGCGGCGAGCTGCTCGGCCTCAAGGAGAAGCCGCAGCCGCCGCCGCACTCGCAGTAGGTTGTGATGGCGCCGCCGCTGCTGCCGCCTGGCGGGGCGACGGGGAACTGAGTCGGCGCCGTGCCGAGCCCGGTGGGCGCGCCCGTGGTCAGTCGTTGGGTGTCGGGCTGGCGCGCGGCCGGGACAGGGGAGGGGACGGGGCAGCGCTGTCGGCCAGAGGACAAGTAACGCCGGCTAGAGAACGTGATCGGCGGTTGGCTTTAAAAGGGGAAGGGCGTTGCCCGTCCGCCGGGCTTGTCCGCACCCACCCATGGCACGCGACGCATATCCGGCTGTGCGGCCTTTCCACCGCTTCTGAGAAGGGGCGATGTCGTGGTTGTTTCCTTGAACAGGAGGGTGGATTCGACGAGACCGTCCCGTTAGCGGTGCTTAAGGATTATTTTCTCCTTCCGTGTCATCCTTTTAGGTCGGCCCAGTATCGCAGTGCGCGAGCATGGCACGGCAGGACAATAATCACCGGGTGCGACTCTGCTGTAGGTTTTAGTTTGCGCGATCTCGTCACAAGGTTTCGTTTTTCCTAGTGCGGTAGCCTGACAGCAAATTGAAGGGATCGGCCACCTTGGCTGTAAGCGTAGCAGTGGAGCGTTACGTTTATGGTGGGGTACTGATGATTTCACTTCGGATGATTATAAGCCACATTCGCGGAAAGTATTCAAGTATTTGTATGATGCCGAAGTAGGCACTATGAGCACGAGGTGTGTTATGTGTTACTAAAATTGGCCTGTAAGATGCTCTAGGGTTGCCCAAATGAACATGCCTCATCCCTAATGTATTATACAATAATCCACATCATTCTAGGGTGCGTGGGTGTCTGTGTGGTCTCTAGAATCATAGACATCTGTTTGAATCATCATAGAGAGTTTTATACCAAGGACGCAGGAGGCTGAGATGCTGCTGGGCCTGCTTCAGTGCTGCTGCAAATATCCAATGGTGATACGCGCACGCAGCTTCCCAGCTATTCAATTTTAGGCATGCAATCTTAGATAAGAATAAGATGATCCAGTTTTTATTTGATTCTAAACGTCCTAATCGCCGTTTCAAGATATTCAAATTATCTAATATTGACATCTCAGTATCTGACGCCCTGGATTTGCTCTGGCTGGTATTGGCAGTCTGGCTTGAGATAAATCAAGCAGAGAATGTAACATGTTTCTGGGTTCTGCCTCGGCCCACTTGAAAACTTCCCGTTTTTACGCCTCGAATGTACGCTGTTGTATTTTCGACGTTCTCAGGGTACATACCGAGCTTTTGCTCGCGGTGAACTCATTTATTTTTACCGGCATCGGATAATGTCACGTTTTGTTCTGCTGGCACCGAGTACAATCACGTCATAGCAATCCGCATAATCTCGACCAGCTTTGTGTCGCCTCAGTTTTGATTCAGATGGAGCCGATGTGAACGAGACCGATGCACGTTGGCCGTTTCCTCCTGGCCCAGCCGTCCTCGGCAGCATGGTCCCAGTGCAGACCTCCTTGTTCTCTGATCGCGCCGAGAGCGGTGGCCAGACCGCTTACCCAGCTGGCTCGGGCTGGCTGACCTTGACCTACCACCCGAGTGACGTGCGCACTGGGGTGCTGAGAGGTGGATGACCCGACACGGCAAACCCGCCGGCATGGTCGCGCCAACTTTCAATGTCGTATCACTCGCCAACGAACTCTAGGAAAATCTGGCCTCTGGTCCTTGCGGTTCTGTGGCGCTTAGGTGGGTGTGTGGTGCAGTGGGGGATCAGAACCGGGCTATCACTCCAACTCTGTGCGAGCTGCTGCGCTCCACCCAGCTGGCACCTGCGGGGTTGCGAAGACACAGGGACCAGCAGGTGTTCTCACGGGCCGTTATTTCGCTCGAGGATTCTGTCATTCTTGTTTCTCAGACACAGTAGGGCGTCTCCCACCCCTGCTGCTCCGCCTGCATAGAAGGGCCGCTGGCTCCTCACTGCTCCAAACCTGATGACAGCCACCGCATTGCGTACCAGGCGGGGCAACAGCACTGCGCAGAACAACGCGGCGCGCCATCGCCCCGCGCGCAGACGCGCTGTCCAATCCAATCAAACCGGCACTTGTACATAACCACCTTGGCAACAATCAAACAGGGTACTGGCTGGACCAGGCTGGACGGACGTGCACGGGTTCAGGGCATGGACGTAGGGCGCCGGCGGCTGGCCCGGCGCCTCTCGTTCAGTGGTTGGTGGTGTGTAGGGGCCTTGCCCCCGCTGGCTGCTGGCTGCGGGCACGCCCGTGCGCTTTGTTCGTTTGCATTGCCGGTTGCGTGGCTCTCTGGGTCTGCCTCGACTGAGTGTCCGAACGCTGCTGGCTAGCGTCGCCTGTTGGTTGTTACGTGTTACTTCTCTCGTTGTACTTTAGGCGTAGGCTACGGGCCACGGTCAGCTTGATTTGTAATTTTGTAAAGGCGGCCGGAGCGGAACCGGGCTTTCGGAGCCGAGGTTTTGGGCTAGGTTCGTGTTGTAACATACTGTAAAATATTTCTTTGATGTTCTTGGCATGTGTTAGGAACCGTTTGTGTTGAACTGCGAGGGAGACCGCGGGCTGGGCATGACCTTGAGTGACCTCTGCTGGACGTCGCGGCGCCGCTGCGCCCCCGCAGGTGATAAAACAGTGTTCAACGCTGTCTAATGGCCAGGCGAGAGGCGCCATTTCGGGGACGGAGCGGCATCTAATGTCGACGACGGCCGTCGGCCGGAGCTGCGGCCGGCCAAGGTCAAGTGATGGACTGTGATCGGGCAAGGGCGTCACAAGATGCTGGTGTGCGGACTGTCCTGTGAACATGGGCCCAGCGGTCTGTGATCGGCACCACCTGGGTCCCGTGGCCGGCGCGTCTGCGCTCGCTTGCGGACAGGGCAATCAGGCTGTTGTCCCGTGGACGGCGCGTCTGCGCTCGCTCGCGGACGGGGCAATCAGGCTGTTGGTGCGACCGTTTGATTCTTTCTATGCAGCGCGATTGAATCCGCTGCTAATTTGTTTTTTATTGAAATTGTGTTTAGTGCCGTCTTACAGTTTGTCTGAATACGCCGCGTTAATGTTGAGTTTTGGTCACCAGGCCGCCGGATACTCGAACGCTAACGCAGGAGGATGTGCGGGGAGACTGGGGCAAGAAGAACTGTATGGGACGTGGCACAATGTCGCATTCTTGTACAGTTTTAATATCAGTATCGCCTAAATAAAGTGGTGTATCGTATGATGCGGGTGAGTTTTCTTGCCGGGGTGGCAGCGCAGCGTTCAAACAGAGCGACGAGCCCTCAACAGGATGGAGACGGTGCAGTCCTTTCGTCGACTAGGCGTTCACAGGCAGATTGCGACAGTTCTGACAGTTCAAACAACCAGGGATAGTTGTAGCGCACCATGACTGAACTTAATTCGCCGCGAAAACCCTCCCCACGCTCTCTTTGCAACAAGTAAGAATGTAGCGAATTAATGTGAGGCTATTCATTCCAGAGCGTTCGTTGTTTGAAGCTAACCGGGTTACCAAGAGTTACCGGGTTACCGGGTTAACGAGAGTTACCGGGTTCTCCGCTTCAGTCTACCCGTTGGGAGTCTGCGCCAGTCCAGCTCACGGTTTTGCGAGATACAGGTGCCCCTCGCCACGGCGCATCACGTCCCTCCTCGTCACCACCTCATCCCCGCTCGTCACTACCTCATCCCCGCTCGTCACTACCTCATCCCCGCTCGTCACCACCTCATCTCCGCTCGTCACCACCTCATCCTCGCTCGTCACCACCCCATCACCGCTCATCACCACATCACCCTCGCTCGTCACCACCTCATCCCCGCTCGTCACCACCTCTCCCCGCTCGTTATCACCTCATCCCCGCTCGTCACCATCTCATCCCCGCTCGTCGCCACCTCTCCCCGCTCGTTATCACCTCCTCCCCGCTCGTCACCACCTCATCCCCGCTCGTCACCACATCACCATCGCTCATCACTACCTCATCCCCGCTCGTCACCACCTCTCCCCGCTCGTCATCACCTCATCCTCGCTCGTCACCACCTCTCCCCGCTCGTCACCACCTCATCCCCGCTCTTCACTACCTCATCCCCGCTCGTCACCACCTCATCCCCGCTCGTCACCACCTCATGCTCGCCCGTCACCACCCTATCCTGCTCGTCACCACCTCTTCCCCTACGTCCACCATCGGTTCCGTCAGACCCAGGCACCAGCGCGGCGGCAGGCCTGAGCACCATGGTCCTGCCGCCCTCAGTTCTGTGGTCCTACCCGGCCCACGCGACGCCGCAAGAACACGGCACTTCAGACATCAAGCAGCGTCAGACACAGACAGCGTCAGACATCAGACAGCGTCGGACATCAGCTGGGCCGGAGACGCGGTCGCACCCCAGCAGGTCGGCTAACCCGCGCCCAGGCCCCGTCAGCTGGCGTCAGGGTCCGTTCACGTCGAGCGCGCCCGGTGGTCCGATGCCCCGAGTGAGCCCCGTGGGCGGGTGAGTCACGTGCTCGAGTGAGTCACGTGGTCGGGTGAGTCACGTGCTCGAGTGAGTCACGTGGTCGGGTGAGTCACGTGCTCGGGTGAGCCCCGTGGTCGGGTGAGTCACGTGCTCGGGTGAGTCCCGTGGTCGGGTGAGTCACGTGCTCGGGTGAGTCCCATGGTCGGGTGAGTCACGTGCTCGGGTGAGTCCCGTGGTCGGATGAGTCACGCGCTCGGGTGAGTCACGTGGTCGGGTCGCGAGCTTGGCTACACCCTCGCGAATCGCGGAGTCTAGATAGTTTATTGTGGAGTCGATTTTTGTAAATGGCTGACTCACCTTGCTGCATGGAAGGCATCAGAAATTCCCCCAGACAGATATATTGGTTGAATATCGCACACCGTATGCAATTCTCTACCAATTTGACCAGAAAACCCTATTTTGCATCCACTACCGAAAATGCCTTGGCATCAATTTTCGCTAGACACGGTATACCATAGATCACGTACACCGACCATCGACCTATGGACTCCAATATCATTAAGGCTTAAGTTGAAGCAATGACAA